CCCTATGCTGCTGCTGCTTTTTGCTCTCTTCCAAGTAACGGTGTTTCCCTCGTTGTTTGGCGTGGGTCCGGGGCTATTTTCGCTCGGAATGGCGGTGATGGCAAGACGCTCGAGGTCGAGGCCGTGGATGACTTCGTGGAAGATGGCACCGAGGAGGGAACAGAGGGCATGGAGATGTGGGTACTTGTCGATGTTGCTTTTTACCATATTCCAGTATGGAACAATGGACAACCAACCTGATGAGTCTCCCAGCCGACGATTTAGGGATTTATACTTATCATCGAGGATAAAAGCAAGAATAAAACAGAGAACTGCTTCGACTGCAAGTGCGGCACCGAGTTTTTCTTCGCCGTCCGTCGCTTGAGGTCCTGCGTATCTCCGAGATGAGTGTTTTAACTCGCGGCCTAAATTGAAATATTTCTGTGATTCCTCGAACCATGGGCGAGATTCTGCCGTGTCGCGAGGCCTGCTTAGCTGGTTATCATTGGGTATTAGGGGAGAATGTTTGGTTGCTTTGTCTGTGTTTCCTGATATGTTGGTATCTATAGCGCGGTCCAAACCTGTTGGCATCCTCGTATCACTGTCCCCAGAGCCTAGACGGCGCATGGCCGTCGCCTTCAAATCTTTACTCGGAGTAAGGAATTGGCCCTTTGATGCCACTGCCGACTGTTGTAGAACAGCAGGAGAGTGGAACATTGTTGTGACAGGAGTTCTTGGTTGCTCCGCAGACGGAATAGTGGTGGGCTTTTGACGCTTGACAGACGATCCCTGGACGTCACTCTCCTCCCTGTGCCTTGGTCGCTTTTCCACTCGTCGCATTTCGGCTAATTTCGAAAAAGGAGCGCTATGATCTTTTCGCTGACTACTCTCGGTTTTCTGTTTCGATGACCTATGATCAGGCGTGAATTTATATTTGCCAGAAAACTTGAGTAAGGCTTCTATCCGTTTCCGGTTGGCCCTCCCGTATCTCAGTTTCACAATTAGTCTGGGTTTAGCAGGTTCCGTAGTACTCTTGGGCTTTGAGGAAATATGCGACTGCTTGGGATCGACGGCTCTGTTGCTCGGATTATTGCCAGGTATAGATTTTCCAACGCTACTACACTGAGGTTTAGAAGTCGACGAGACCGATATTCTAGCCCTGGTGCTTTTATCGCTTGAACTAGAGGTAGAATTAGAATGGGGTCTAGCTTTATTCGATTGAGGTAGCTGCAGTTCAGGTTTTGATCCTGTAGGACCGGACGATGATGGGGGTTTCCTGGAATTGGAATATTCATTTATAGACAGCTCGTCGCTCTTTAGCTTTGCCAGTTCTTCCTCTACGTCTGGGGGAAGTGTGGGAGATAGCAATCTAGGGAGCCTAGGCAACACGCTAGTAGGCGGAAGTGTCGGAGAAAGTAGAGCGGGGACGATAGGGGCCGCATTTTTTGATCTCGTGGAAGCATTACCAGAAGACTCCTTGGTAGTTGCTAGCCGGGGTTTTTTGGCGAGAGGCGGGGACTCTCGACTTGACGGTGGAGGTTTATAGGAACCAGGAATGGATCTGGAACTCTCGTCACGGGAATTTTTAGGTTTGGAGATTCCATTGGCATTATTATCTGGGCGATTGTCGGTTATTCCGGACGTGGTATCTTTTCTTTTAGAAGGGATTATCGGCTGTAGTGTGGTAGTTGACATAAGTTCCCGAGATGAGTTAGGTTTTCCTGAGGTGACCCGATCCGCTGGGATGGTGCTTCTATGGGGGAATTTTGGAGTTTCGTTTGCTTTCTTTTTGTAGTCGCTGAGACTGATCTTCTTTCGTTGGAACCTATGTTGAGGAGTGTCGACGGACGGGCTTGTGGTAATGCTGGGCGCCTTTGACGTGTCTTCTTCCATGATGTTTCCACGTTCATCAGACCATCCCCCCACAGCAACAAGTAGAGTGTCTTCGTCCTGGTGGGGCAGAAAGGTCATGTACTGGAGGTGTTCCTCCTCCGGAGCAAATGGCCTATTATCTCCCACAGCCCAATTGCTCACAAACCGGGAACCCAGATGGAAAGGCCTTTCGGTGGGAACCCTGAGGAGGTATGGAGATGCGGGTAGAACTTTGTCGGAGAGGTGTTTGAAACGGGTATTGACTCCTTTTAGGTAGTCTGAATAGGATCTTTTGGCTGGTACACGTGATGAGGATTCGGTAGTGTTTTGGGTTTGGAGCTCAACGGACATGGCAGATCGTTATCGTCGCAAGCGCAATGACCGTTCATGAACTGAGCGCTGTAAGCTGAGCTTAAGGGGTTATATGGCTTGGGAATATGGGAATACGACGTAGCTTGCACGGGGGTTTGTTCGTATTCAACAAATGAGCGAGCAGGAGGATTTGGAGGGAAATCCGGGCGTTGCGCATTCATGCGTTTTCAACTGCTAGACGAGAGCACAAATCCATAAGCCAATAGCTTTCCAATAGTCCTACCAAGATAGGTGCGAACCCGAGGTGAAGTAGGTGGGGCAGAGTAGAATGGCAAAAATTGAAAAGACAATGCGCATTCGACTCACAAGTAGTGAATAGAGGCAGCATCACACCAGGCCAATTCCACGCTGGAGCCAGCGATCGTTTGGATCTTGGAGTGCGGTTTTCTCGGGTTGGTTGACTGGCTGGCTGGCGGGTCGATCGACTCAGAAGGCACGCCCTTCCAACGCCAGCTCGAAACAAACAGGAAACCAGGGTGCGCGCGGTCAGAACGCGAATTCAGGAAAGGTAGAAGGTAGACGACAGTGGAGGGTGGCCGATAAAGGAGGCGGGAATAGATGGATTAGTTGAGACGATCGGTGGCAGCAACTTCGCAATTATGGCACCCAGTGTTCTTCAGGACGATGATTGGATGGGCGCTTGGATTTAGGGCAGAGTGATGTTGAAAAAACAGGGCCCAATGGGCGAGGCCATTGATTGGGAGAAGCCGGGGAAGACAGCGAGAAAACGGGCGGCAGACACAGGAGCCCTCGAGACAAGAGAGGCTGCAGGGCTGTTGAGGTGGTGGGCGTTGGCGGGAGGAAACGCGGCGGAGAGAAGAGGAACAATCGATGATGAGGTGGTGGTGTGG